AGAAAAACTCCACTACAGCTCTATATACAGACAACTCCACTGCAAGGCCGGCCATGACAAGACAGGGAGATCGCTGCCGGCGAGAAACGAACGAAAGACGTCCACAGGGCCGGGAGGTGTTTCCAAGCATCCCACAGTCTCTGACAGCGTTCGTGACAGGGAATGGCGGCCGTCGGTGCGGCTGGTTCCCGGAATACTCGACCGTCAGCTGAGTGAGATCGGCCGCCTCGGGTAGACTGAGGCCATCATCCGAGGCGTGTCCTAGCACGGGCTGGTTCTGGCTTGTGATTCCTTTGCATATGAAGAGGGAGCCTCGGTCCCACCTATCTTCCCTCCCCAGGGCAGCGTTGGGAACCGAAGCGACCACAGTAAAGAGAGCAAACGCCTGACATGCACGAAGAGTAGAGTTTAGAGTTGCGGACATTGCAAGTATGACATGCATTGATAAGTAATTTAAATCGTAGTAGCTACACGCACCCCCTGCCAGGTGGCTTGAATAGCCCTTAACGTTAGAAAAGGGCAATTGCCAGGATCGCCTCGAGTGCCCGCCAAGGCTGTGGGACTTACGGTTGTACGATTCACTGACCTTTGACATGACCGCCGTCGGCACCTCTGGCCGCTTCGGCTACTCTGGTCGGAACACATGTGCGCATAAAATTCAGCGAGCTAACCACGATATAGCACGTAGTTGAATGTTGATACCTAATGTGGACAATGTTATGTTAGAACATCAATATGACATCTTGCAATGCTCAATATGTTAATTACGATAGCAAAGTGCTGCAAAACTCTTACAAATTTAGAGGGGACAGCCGGCACAGAACAATTACACTGCACTCTGCGCATGAACGACTGCAGGAGATCTTTTGAGTACAATATTCTGGAGAGCATTTTTGAGTTCCGGACACTTTTTCCTGTTTTCCCCCTGCTGGGGGGGGGGGGGGGGGGTGGGGCGGAATCACAAGTTTTAGTGCAGTTTGCACTGCTCCTGGTTTCGCCGTCATCGAATTGGTGCTAAAGGAGCAAGAGCTCAAAAATTCACAGTAATTTTCTTGTCGCTGCTGGGGGAAAATCACTAGATTGTGTGAGTAAACCACACACGCGCAAGCTGGTCGGCTGCATGATGTCAGCAGGCTCCGTTTTGGTCACGTGTAGCTGATGTGTTGGATTCAGAGCGGTGATGCTGCTCAGAGCTGAAGA